AGAATTTCCTTTATGAATATCATTTTTATAGATGTATAGTATTTCAACCTAGAAACATCATAGAGCACAAAATACTTAACCAACCCTTTATTCTTAACAGTTTAGATTTTTCTAATTTTCATTATTATATATTGCACTAAGTTGAACATTTTTGTTCATAAATATTTACATCTGATTATGTGTTTCCACTGGATAGCTTTTTAAAAGTGGAAATGATGAGTTAAAGTATATAATACTTTTAAGGCTTCTTGGAAAGGTTGTATCACTTTACATTCCTGTCAACAGTGAGAGATACTCCCTTGCCAATAACAAGTATTACCAGTTTTTTAAAACTCTTGACAAATCAATAGGTGAAAAAATAGAAACTCATTGTCTCAATTTGTAATTCTTTGATTACTCACTTAAGTTGCATGTGCAGTATTTCATGTTTCTTAGTCATTTGTATTTCCCTTTCCATGAATTGTCTGTTAGTGTCCTTTGCTGGGCAGACTTTGTTAATAGTGGCCCCAAATAATCCTACAGTTGTCTGCAGAAGATGCCAAACCTTGCATTCAGCCACATCTGATAGGAGGCCAGGCTCCGGCAGGATTAGAAATAGTCCATGTCAGCATTGCTCTTTCAATGAAACCAGAAAGGGGAAAGTTTCCATGTTTTATTGGAATCTGGAAGATGAAGTTATTTTGCTGAGCCACATCTATCACATGCCTTCTTTTCTTTTCTTACTCTCAAAGCCTCTCTTTTCTTAAATGCTGCTCTAGCAGGAGGATTAAATTCGGTGCATGTGTGTCCTTTCTTTCAGTATGTGCTCACTGACCTCCTACTATGTGCAATGCACAATAGCCACATGAATGGACTGTGCAGTATAGAGAAAAGCCTAGATGGGTCAGGCAGATCTTGGGCAAGTTCCTTAATCTCTTGGAGGCTCAGTTTCCTCTTCTTTCAAGCACAGGTGATATCCCTACCTTTGTAGGATAAATGCATTATAAATGTAAAACTCCTGGAACAGTGTCTAACACCTCATAAGACTCCCTTTAGCTCAACAAACAAACAATTCTTGAGCCAATTCTGTGTATTTGACATTGTGCTGGGTGTGGAGTATAAAAAAGGAATCAGACTGGGCCCTTTACAACATCTCCATTGCCTAGGAAAAAGGTCAGACTGCTCATTGGCTCCAACAAGGCCCTCTCTGATCCCTACTCTTCTGTGGCTCCTCATTAAGCCGTGTGGCTCCAGGTGTCATGGGGGGGGGAGGGGTTGACAGCTCTCTTTAGAGCCCCAGGCCTTAGGCACAGTTCTGGGGCAATAGGAAAAGTGCCAATCAACATTCTGTTACACAGAGCTATAATTTTTATTTTCTTTTTTCTTCTTAACGTTTTATCATAAGTATTTTCCCTTTATAGTTAAAAGTGCCAGATGGAGTCAGCCAGCTTCAGTTTGATTTCTGGCTCTATTACTTACTGAGTGATCTTGGGCAAGTTGCCTTGTCTCTCTGTGCCCTAGTTTCTTTATCTGTAAAATGTGGATGATAATAATATATTGTAGACAATGTTTGTGTCACCCTAAAATTCATATGTTGAAATCCCAAGCCCCAATATGATGGTATTTGGAGGTGGAGCCATAGGGAAGTGATTAGTTCATAAGGGCAGAGCCCTGGTGAATGGGATTAGTGTCCTTATAAAAGAGACCCAGGGAGCTCCTCTGACTCTTCTACCATGCGAAGACACAATGAAAAGTTGGCCATTTGTAGGAATCAGGAAAAGGGCCCTCACCAGACACTGGATCTGCTGGCAGCTTGATCTTGGACTTCCCAGCCACTGGAACTGTGAGAAATAAATTTATGTTGTTTACAAGCCACCCAATCTATGGTAATTTGTTACAGCAGCCCAAACGGACTAAGACATAATAGTACCTACTTCCTGGGGTTCTTAGGATTGATTAAGCAAAGTAATTCATGTGTAGCTCTTAGTATAGTGTCTAGCACATAGTAAGAGCTCAATTATCTGTTATTAATATTTGTGATACTGTTTTCATAGTCACCCATACAATGACTTTATAGGATTAAGCTGAACAGATAAAATAATACCTTTACTTGAATATTAAAGGTATTTCCAATTTTTAAACACAAAATATTATTCCTAAGAAATAAAAAAATCATCTCATGGTTTAGAGAGAAAGATAAAAGCAAAGAAACAAATTTAAGAATTAAATGTTTAATGAATCAACCTTAATACATGTAAATTATCTTTTAAAAGAATTCAACATTTTCTATACATATTATAGGCAAATCATTCCATCTTAGAAGCCCTGGTCTTGGTGATCCTTACCTGAGGCAGATAGCTGGCCTGGATCACTTCAGCAAGGTCTTCTAGTCCTTCACTCTGATTCTCCTGGCAAAGAAGCTCCATCAGCTTCTCTTCCCTAGTGCCAGAGAATCTGTAATAGAGCATAGCTCAGAGCCAAATCAGCATTCAGTGATTCAGATATCATTTCGGCATACCTCCTAGGGCAACTGTCAGGCCATCTCACCTGATGGGGAAGTTATGGGACAGAGGTTTCTGCTCTGGTCCTTCAGCCAATAAGGCTCAAAGTTGGCAATGGTATAATTGAAATATGAACCTACACAGATTGAGCACCACGTGCCAGGCTCTGTAAAAACATTCTATTCAATACTCAGCTCAACTAAGTGAGAGAGGATTTATTGGCCCCATTTTATAGATGAGGAAACTGAGGCTCAGAGAGGTGAAGTGTTTCCTCCAAGGTCACACAGTTGGCAGTGTCATGACCCAGGTCTGCCTGACTCTAAAGACACACTCTCACCCCACAGGCACCACAGAATCTCTTTTCATTGTAGTTCAATGTAACCAGCATAGATTAGCACATATATGTATTGCCCCTGCTAGGTACTGAAAACAGAGAGATCAGCTGATGGAAGAGACAGACACATAAATCACAAGTTCTAGTATTAAGGCTGATGCATGCCTGTGAGAAGTAATAAAGCCATGTGGGCAGTTCAGTTTATCCTGTTGTATATATTTCTGAAAGCCATCCTTAATCCTTTTAGGATGAAGTAGGAGAGAGGTAGATTGAGAAATCAGGGCTGTAATCAGTTAATAACAAAGGGCAGTGGGGAAATGGGGAGAGAGAGATTAATTCCGACTCAGAAATCCAGGAACGTCTCTTAGAGAATGTGGCATTTTGGTTGGAGTTCGAGGGGCCGAGAGGAATCAGCGAGATAATATGGAGAGGGGGCAAAACCTGTCTACCCCTTTCACAAAGATAAGTAAAAATAGAACCTTGGTTAGAGCTTGCTAAATATTGGTTTTGAAAACAGAGCATTCACACACACCCCTCCCATTCTGCCTCCCCTTACATACATAAACAGACCTATTAAGACACACCCATAGATAACCACAGATCCAAAACCAGGAAAAAATGTATAAAACACACAACAGTACAGATGTACAGATTATTAAGACACATAACATACGAAAATAAATACTAGTTCCCATACTCATAAATTCACAAAGATGCATATAATACTCATACTCACAGACTCACAAACATGTTTATGCTTTCATGTACAAGCACATACATATCCTCTCCCCACCCACTACTCATGCAAATAAATGCATGCTTTCGTTAACATACACAGGTTCATACACAAATCTCATCCTGCCTGTCTGGTTAGAGGCCAATGACTAATGGGAAACCATGCACAAAGGCAAGCTTCAGGCAGAGGAGGCCGGGACTGGGTAAACGGTGGGGCTGGGGTTAAGCCCTGTCAGATGACAAACCCGCCCTCCCGGGCTCCCCCTGGAAGCTGCTGAGCCAAGGCAGCAGCGCCTGACCTAGCTCTAGCCGATGGTGAGAGGCTGCGCGTCCGAATTCCAGTTTCATTCAGGGCTTAGTGTCATCCAGGGTCAAGCTCTGCTGTCACTCCCACCCCAGGCCCTGCAACAGCCAGGAGGCTCTGGGGACACAGTGGGACCGGGGTCTGCTTTCTAACCCTTAGCTCCTCCTGACACAGTACACTGAGAGTTAGCATTAACGAGGGTTCACAACGGTGGGCCAGACAATAGATTAAACCCTTTATGTATTTTACTTAATTTTCACAACAGCTTCGTGAGGCTTGAGGGTGTCCTATTATCTCCATTTTAGAGGTGAGAGAACTGCGCTCAGACCACAAAACCACTCAGCGAGAGACATGAAGCCGAGGTTCAACCCCAACAGATCCTGTTCTTCCTCGGGTTTGGGTAAAGTGCACATGAGCCTGCCTCCTCCACGCAGGACGTCTGCACCTTCGGCTCTTGGCGAGTCTCCAGACGCCGCTGTCCAGCCTGGCACAGAGCCTGGCCCACAGCAGGTGTCTGATGACGGCGTGGGTCTTGGTTCAGTGAGGCCTTCAGTAAGGGCCTCAGTTTCCCCATCTCTGAAATGGGAATGGCAGCGCAGACCTCGCAGGGCCGAGGCCAGGCTCTCTTGGGCAACAGAGGGAATGATGAGCTCTACATCCTCGCTGCTGTCGCCCTCGCCCATCATGGGGCTCCAGTTCGTCCCCGACCTAGCCCGGGTGAGGCGCCGGCGCCCCATTGTTCAGAAGAACGGGGATACTCCCGAAAGCGGATCCCCCGCCCTAGGTCGCTCTCGCAGCCCAGGGGATCATACGACTTGGCCCGGCGTCTGCCGCGAGGGGCGCGTCCTTTGTCTGCTCCACGGTGCCCGGTGCCCGTGGCCCGCGCCCCGCTTCTTGGGCAGACAAAGCCGGGGCCGCTGCGAGCCCGGCCGGCTGGAGAGGGGCTCGTACCACCCTCCTCCCGCCTTACGTACCGCCCCCGCCCCTCGACGTCTTCTGATTGGCCCGCTGGGCTACAAAGAGGCCGGGAAGCGATGGGTCACGTGGGCTAGCGTGGCCTCCCATTGGTTGGGCGCGGCTGCCAGTCGAGGAGGGCGGGCTGTCCGCGCTCGGCCGGGTCGCTCCCTCTGCTCTGGGGCCCGCCCGCGGGGCCGGCCGCCTGTCAGAGGGAGGTGGCGATGGTGCGCTCGGTGTCGGCGGTGGCTGCGGCGCCTTCCTCGGTCGGTGCGCAGGGAGGAGAAGATGACTGACCAACCGACTGGCTGAATGAATGAATGGCGGACCCGAGCGCGCCATGAGGAGCCTGCCGAGCCTGGGCGGCCTCGCCCTGTTGTGCTGCGCCGCTGCCGCCGCCGCCTCAGCCGCCGCGGCGGGGAATGTCACCGGTGGCGGCGGGGCCACGGGGCAGGTGGACGCGTCCCCGGGCCCGGGGCTGCGGGGCGAGCCCAGCTATCCCTTCCCTAAGGCGACGACTCCCACGACCCAGGCCCCACGGACCGGACCCCCGAGCGCTACCCCGCACCGATCCCTGGCTGCGACCTCTCCAGCCCAGTCCCCGGAGACCAGCCCTCTTCGGGCGACGGCCGGACCCGCTCCGACCACCGTTCAGACGCCGCCTGCCCCCTCGCCAACCACCCCTCCGGCGGTGGAACGCACTCCGACCACCCCTCGGGCGCCGACCAGACCCGCGCCGGCCACCCTCTCGACAACCACTGGCCCGGCGCCGACCACCGCTGTAGCAACCACCGTTCCGGCGCCCGCCACTCCCCGGACCCCGACTCTCGTTCTCCCCAGCACCAGCAGCGCCTCGTCCACCCCACCTGCCACCGAGGCTCCCTCCCCTCCTCCCTCAGGTGAGTCCCAGCGCTTCCTCGCTGGCAGGACCCTCCCCCGCGGCTGCCCATCCTTACCCAGTCCACAGCATCTAGGGATGGGCTATTGGCCGGAATTGATCGTTTCTTGCCCCAAAGGCTCCCCAGATTTCGGCTCCCAAGGGAGGTCCAAGCTCCAGCTAGCCCCCACCCCCATCTGGATAGTCGTTTGTCCCCCCTGGGCTGTGCTCCCTCGGGAGGGGGCAGCTGCTGTATGGAAGGCATCGCATCTCCTTCCAAACAGGGCTTTCTGGCCTTTGTCAAAGACCCAGAATGGACACAAACTTTTGGGGTTGATTTACTCACCCAGGCTTTCCGCTTGGGTTATTTGGGGAATTTTGAAAGCCAGCATAGCATTCAACGAATGGGTCAGAAGCTATGTAAAGGGTTCCTCCCAAAGCCCCAGTTTCCTTGCTCATTTCTTTTTGTTTATGTAGATATCAGATGTGTGTGGGTGACAGGTGGAAGAGATATTGAGAGGATTTTGTTTACAAAGAGTATAGTACAGACCACTTCAAAACAAAAAATAAAAAAAGGTAATTCATGTTTTCCCTGAAAATAAGTGGATTCAGTAGGTCATTTGGGACAGGTGTGTATCTAGGTTGAGCACATTTATAAATTGGGTTAAGTCCTTTCGTTGCACCATTTTTTTCTTCCTCAATTACAAGGTCAATATGTTTGGGCAAATACACAATTTAAGCAGGGATGCCCACTTTTGTCCCCTTAAGCTAGAATGTTCAATTTTGCTGATGCTGATAAATGCTAGTTTGTGTTTGAGTCCACATAGAAAATAAGGCTCTTCTTCCTGCTGGTTGAAATCTTCAAGCGAAGTTAGAGACAACTCCTATTCTTTCCCTTTTTATATCTAAAGTGGGTCTAGAACTCAACAAATATAATCTACTTTGTCAAGAGGTTAGGCAACAGTTTCTGAGTTCTTTTGCTTTGAGTTAGTTGGAGATTTGTCCAAACCATTTGTCTAGTTGTTTCTCTGACCTAATTCTTAGGCTTTGTAATTTACTGTGGAGTCAGGTATGGACTTTGGACTATAATTGAGTTTGTAGAGAATTTTCCCACATGGTTATTAGCCTTAATACTGTATTGAATCTTGGGTTGGTGCTTGGCAATGACATAAGAAGGAATACAGATTATTCACCCATAAAAAAGCCAAGTTTGCATCTCTTTCAGCTTCAAGGAGTGTATTAACTAGCTGGGTTTTATTGGTAACCCTTTTTGGCTTTCGTATGGAGAGATTGACATATTACTGAGGGACAAGAAGCACAGTGGTTGAGAGTATGGATTCCATTCTTAGATTTGAATCCTAGCTCTGCCCCTGAATAGCTATGTAAGCTTGAGCAAGTCACTTACCTCTCTGGCCTGTTTCTTCAACTGTGAAATGAAGATAATAATAGTATGTACCTCGTAGGATTGCTGTGAAGGTTAAATAAGTTAATACATTTATAGAGCTTACAACAGTTCCAGAATAAGCACCGTGTGTTAGTTATGTTTATAACCAGGCTTTTGTGTGTGTGTGTATAGAAAGCATTTGAGAGGGTCAGCCCATGGCTTACTTGGGAGAGTGTGGTGCTGATAACACCAAGGCCATGGTTTGGATCCCTATATAGGGATGGCCGGTTAGCTCACATGAGAGAGTCTGGTGCTGACAACACCAAGTCAAGGGTTAAGATCCCCTTACCGATCATCTTTTAAAAAAAAAAAGAAAGAAAGCATTTGAGGAAGCTAGTAGGGACTTGTGGTTATTTTTATTTGTTTTAGTAAAATATAATAGAAAAATGATGAAAATGATGAATTAGATTATCTGGAGTTTCAAGCACATAGAATTAGCAAGATCACTTACTTTGGTTAATATCTGATAAACAAGTCTGTGTAATTGATATTATTTTACTCTTATTATCTTTGTATTGTTATTTTTAAATCACAGAGATAATTCTTACTGGCCAATAATACAAACAACTAGAATTATACAAAGAAAAAAGTGAAAGTCACTCCTTCACTGCCTCCTAGTTCCAGTCAGTCTTAGAAGTCACTGTTGTTACCAGTTTGTCAGATCTTTTTTTCAAACATTTTTCTGGGCATATATGAATATACACACAGAGTATGTTTAAAATTGTTTTTAAAAAATAAAAATGGAGGGCCGGCCTGGTGGCGCACTGCCACAGTGCGCCGCTTGGGAGCGCGGTGGTGCTCCCACCGAGGGTTCGGATCCCACATACAGACCGGCCACTCACTGGCTGAGCGAGGTGCGGGCGCAACACCGAGGGTTGCGATCCCGTTGCCGGTCACGAAAAAAATAAAATAAAATAAAATAAAATAAAATAAAAAATAAAAATGGAATAATTCTTTACATATTGTTTTACGACTTGCTGTATTCACTTAAGTATGTATAATGGACTTTTCTTCATGTCAGTACCTAGGGTCAACCTTATTCTTTTGAATAGTTGCATTTTCCATTATAAGAGTGTATCATAATTTATTTAACTAATCCCTTATTTGTGGACACTTAGATTGCTTAAAATAAAATAAAATAAAATAAAATAAAAAATAAAAATGGAATAATTCTTTACATATTGTTTTACGACTTGCTGTATTCACTTAAGTATGTATAATGGACTTTTCTTCATGTCAGTACCTAGGGTCAACCTTATTCTTTTGAATAGTTGCATTTTCCATTATAAGAGTGTATCATAATTTATTTAACTAATCCCTTATTTGTGGACACTTAGATTGCTTCTGAGCTTCACTTTAAAAAGCACAGAGAAGAATGTGTTCTTGTTAAGTCCATCACGTATTTATTATATTCTCTAATACAATGTCTGGAGTTTCTTAGAATCCAAATCAATTGCAATAGAAGTAAAGCTGGACTGATTAATATTTGCCATCTGAACTGTCATTGCAGACATTTAGTAATTTCCATGAACTAACGTATACTTGTGTCTGTGATGGACTTGGGGTGACAAAAGTTTTATAAGGATGTTCAACTTCAGTAACTCTATTGTGTTTTAAGTATTCTGCATTTTTTATTTTTCTTTGAATTTGCTCTGGATTGCCTGTGTCTAGTTCTCAGCAGCTGAACTGACTTTGTGGGCCTATTGATAGGCAATTTCAGCTTTACAGTCATATAATCAAGTATGGACTTTTTATGTAAGCATGGGCTCCAGTCTACTTCAAACAGTAAACATGTCCCTTTGACACAAAGAAAGCTTCTAATTGAATTTGAGAGAACTAGTTTGGCTTGCAAAGTTGTATTCCCTGGCATTTGGGAAGATAATTGTACAGGTTTTTAAAAATTTTTGTTTGTTAATTTTTTATTTCAATGTCCCTGTAAGGACTGAGTGCCATTGATAATATGTTATTTGACTGGAAAGGTTTTAAACTGTTTTTCAATTAATAAGAAATCTTTCATGGACATCTAACTGAGAGCTCTTGCCTGCTCTTCATTTAGGGCCCTCTTATTTACAGGGACACTGATCTGCAAACTGAAACTAATTGCCCAGTATGTAGGCACTTTCCTCCCACAAACCTGGCAAAACATTCGCCTTATTGGTTGGCTGCATATAGCATTAAGAAGGGTTCAGGGAGATCTGTGATACTAGACAGTAATAATAATCAACATTAAGTTACTGAGGTAATGACAAACGTTTGATTTTTAAAATTATGGACCTTTAGGGCTACATAGGATATTAGAAGCCAGTACCTCCTCACATGGCTCTACATTTAAAAAAATTCTTTCATAGGCTTAGCTGAAATATTTTTCCCTGTAGTTCAAACTGACTGGTCTGGTTCTGCCCTTTGGGGCCATGCAAAACAAGTCTGCTTTCTCTGCGCCATTATAGTTCTTCAGGGATTTGGGGTATGACCATGCTTCTTTGAAACTGGGCTAAACAACTTCAGCTCCTTCAGTTTGTCTTTATGTCACATGGTTTCAACTTTTCTCATTATCCTGGCCACCCCTCTTCTGGGCTTTTTCAGGCTTTCTCTGGCTACCCGAAAATGTAGAACAGAGCTGAATATAATACTCCAGATGTACTCTAACTAGCTTGTAGCAGAGAGGCAGTTACCTTGTTCTTTTGGGATGTGATACTGCTACTGATGTAGTTCATCCCTAATCACAGTACCTTTTTTGGCAGCCACATTATGTTGTTGACTCATTGAGTTCATTAAGATAGCTAAGTTTTTTGTTTTTTTTTAAACATGTGCTAGATGAGTGTTCCTTCATTCTGGATGTGGAAATTCTTGTCATTTTCTAAAGTATAATCTGAGACATTCACTAAATTTATGACTGATTGTGTTAGATTCAAGTCATTCTTTTAGGTCCCAAGTCTGTCAGTGTATACCACCCAGTTTATTCACATTTACCTACAGGGTGTTCCTATAGACAGAGTCTAAGGACATGTTAGGGCAGATAACTCTTACCTCACAGGGGAGAGTAAATTTATGGATGATAGAACAGTTTGGAAGGGAAGGGATAATAGTTTAGATTAGTTCTCAAGGATCTCTTTCCGCTCTAAAGTTTTGTGATGATTTGGTATGGATGATTTAAGGCACATTTACATCCCCCCAAAAGCTTTACTTATTTGTGATCTAAGTTTTGAGAATAGACTTTGTTTAAGCCCTGTGGGAATGAGGGGGTCCCACAGGCCTCAATCCCGCTCCTCCTTCTTCCTCTTTCTTCCATCCCATTTCCTTCCCCTTTCCCTTCTTCCCCTCCCTGCCAACTGCTCCACAACAACATCATAGAATGTAAAAAAATAATAATAATATTAAAACATAAATAAATAATTCAAATAATCTTCCAAAAAAAAAAAAAGAGCAAGTCCTAGAATTTAGAGCTTGAAAACTCTACTATGACATGTAAATAAAATATTACAAATGGATTCTACTTGAAAGGAACATTCTAGGAATACAGGGCCCTCCTAACTACTGGGAAATGTTTTCTTCATCATAATCTGCTCTACTACTAGATT